CTCTGGGCCTGGGCGCTGTTCCTCAGCTCTTCAGCTCAAGGCTAGTGCTCTACCACTTGAGCCATAGTGCCACTTCCGGTTTTTTTCTTTCTGCTTATGTGGTGCTGAGGAATTAAACCCAGGGCCTCAGGCATGCAAGGCAAGTGCTCTACCACTGAGCCACCTTTGATTATTTTTTCATAGGAGAGAAGTGGACTATTGAAATTACTTCAGGGCAAGAGGAGTTTGTTTTTTTTTCTGGCTAAAAGCACCTTTGGAAAAGAAATACTTTACTGAACTCTAATAAAATTTTAATTAGAATATACTGGTATTTGTGGGAATGGAGAGAGAGAAAATCAGAATTAAATGTCAGTTTGTTCTTTGATTTTAGGTCTTTAATCTCTTTTTCTTTTCTTGCCTTTTTTAATCGTGTGTGTGCTTGCGTGTGTGTGTGTGTGTGTGTGTGTGTGTGTGTGTGTGTGTGTGTGTTCGTGTCCTCCAAGGGCTTGAATTCCAGACTTAGGTGTTGCCCCTAAGCTTTTTGCTCAAGGCTAGTGTTCTGCCACTGGAGCCACTGCTGCACTTCCAGCTTAATGAGAGATAGGAGTCTCACAGACTTTTCTGGCTGGCTGGCTATCAACTTCAATCCCAGATTTCAGTTTCCTGAGTAGCTAGGATTATAGGCGTGAACCATTGGTGCAAGACCAAAACAAAAATAAAAACCTATGATTTTAATTACTATTTTGGCCAATAATTATTGACAGCTGCTTCTTATTGACAGCTGCTTCGTCCAGAAGAAGTTGAAATTCTTGTCTGTGGAAGTCCTGAACTGGATATGCATGCTTTGCAGAGAAGTACTCAATATGATGGCTATGCAAAAACAGATGTAACTATAAGGTGAGTTCCTTATAGTTACGCTAATGAGACTGTAGGAAATAGAACACAAAGAATGTAGCTTGCTTATATGTATAAGTTACAAGTTTTAAGTCAATTAATGGAAATATTGTAAAGTAGAAGAAAATTGTATAAGAAGCTTTCTATTTAAAGAAAGCAAAGGAATTTTACTTTAAAAAATAGCTTTGATCATGAAGTTTCAGGTATGCTATGCTTATAAATAGCATTTTAATAGTATTTTGTTAAAAAAAAAGAAGGCTTATAATTATATGTAGGACAGAAATAGACTCTATATCCATGCACAGAACTTAAAAAACCAACAACCCAATTAATAAATGGGCTAATGAGCTAACAGAGTCTTCTTAGAAGAAGTAAAAATGGCCAATAAATAAATGAAAAAATTTTCTTCATCTCTAGCTATTAAAGGAAGTACAAATCAAAACAACATTGAGCTTTCACCTCACTCCATTATCAAAAAACAAACAATAACAGATACTGGTGAGGATGTGGTCAAAAGGGATCCCAAATACTCCATTGGTGAGAATATAAACTTGTTCAACTACACTAGAAAACAGTATGGAAGTTCTTCAGGTAAACATAGATGTACCCTATGATCCAGCAATTTCACTCCTATACATTTATCAAAAAGGCTACAGTAGGGCTGGGAAGGTGACTCAGTGGTAGAGCGCTTGTCTTGCATGCATGAAGCCCTGGGTTCAATTCCTCAGCACCACATAAGCACAAAGAAAAAAGCCGGAAGTGGCACTGTGGCTCAAGTGGTAGAGCACTAGCCTTGAGCTGAAGAGCTGAGGGACAGCGCCCAGGCCCAGAGTTCAGGCCCCACGACCGGACCCAAAAAAAAAAAAGGCTACAGTAAAGCCACCAGGACAACCATGTTCATTGCAGCACTATTCACCATAGCCAAGGAATGGAATCAGACCAGATGCCCCTCAGTGGAAGAATGGATCAAGAAAATTTGTTATATATACACAATGGAGTTTTGTTCCATTTGTCAGTCATGGGGCCTGAACTCTGAGTCTGGGCACTGTCCTTCAGCTCTTCAGCTCAAGGCAAGCACTCTACCACTTGAGCCACAGTGCCACTTCCAACTTTTTCTGTTTATGTGGTGCTGAGGAATCAAACCCAGGACCTCATGCATGCAAAGCATGCATGAGCTACCTGTCCAGCTCCCACACAAACGTTTTGATTGAAATATGGTAGATTCAAGGGAGAATACAGAAAGGCAAAGTCAATATTCAACAAAAGAAATACCAGGAAGTGAGTACTTTGAAAGGTGTGAATTGGGATGAAGGGGGAAAGGGTAAAATGAAGAGGAGAAGAGGGGAGAATATAGTCAAGAATTCAATGCATATTCTACAAAATTAAGAGGAGTAGGGGAAAAAAAGAATAAAGGAAGGGAAGAGATGGATGAGAATATTGAATGGGGTGACATTGATTGAGGTACATTTTATTCATACACTGCTTTGTTAAATGACAATTCCTTTGTACACTTACTAAAAGATAATAAAAGTATCAGAAAAAAGGTTCTAAATTACCCATTCTAGGATTACTTAAATAATGTCATAAAAATTTTATTTTTTATGTAGTTATTTTAGTATAAAATCTGATTTATAAATAAAAACTTCCTTTAATTTTATGTTAAGATTATCTTTTTTTCCAGCTTTTCTTAACAATTTTGCAATACTAGGAACTAAACTTGGGGAGGCAAGCACTCTACCCCTTGAACCAGTCCATGGATAGTACATATGTTTAAGGAAACTTTTTCTCAGAAGTTTTTATTAGTTTGTTATGATTTTTAAGGCTTTTGTCAGAATATTTTAGTAAATTATCTTCTGTAGATACTTTTGGGATGTTGTACTTGGATTCCCTCTTGATCTTCAAAAAAAGTTGCTTCATTTTACTACTGGAAGTGACAGAGTACCTGTAGGAGGGATGGCTGATTTGAACTTCAAAATTTCAAAGAATGAAACCTCTACTAACTGGTAAGCTTCTAGATTATAATTTGATTTTTAATCTGTAGTTTATTGTTAATTTGGAGTTGGAGGAACCAGTTTGATGTCATTTTTTTCATACAAAAAAAAATCTCCACATAGAACTTCCCTGTGACCCAACCATACCACTCTTGGGCACCTACCCAGAATGTTACAAGCCAGGATATCATAAAGACGCTTGCACATCTATGTTCATTGCTGCACTATTCATAATGGCCAAATAATGGAAACAGCCCAGATGCCTTGGAGTCGATGAGTGGCCCCTTAAACTGTGGTATATATACACAATGGAACTTTATTCACCAATTAGAAAGTATAGGGTTATGTCATTTGCAGGAAAATGGATGAACCTAGAACAAATCATGTTAAGTGAAGTAAGCTAAGCTCAAAGAGACAAACAGTGCATGTTTTCTCTCATATGTAGAAACTAGACCTAAAATATAACTGGACATGATAACTTAGACAACTGGGCATTTACATAGACCAAAGGAGGATACAGTAGGGGAGGAACTCTCCTGAATATTTAAAGTACTATTTATCAAAACCAATTTCCAGGAAATATGGGTTGTTAGTGGTGGTGGTAGTGTGTGTGTGCTTTTTAATTTTTTTAAAATATTTTTCTGCTTCTTGGGGGTGGTGGTAAAGTGAAGCACAGAAAGTGAGGGAGTGTAGACAAATTCAAACATGATATTTAGTGTACACTATGTGGAAAATGAACTGTGCCACTTGTGGTCAGGGACAGGAGGTGGACACTGGGGGAAAATGAAGGAAGGCATGACATTGTGCAAAGGAGAAATGTACATGTTACCTGAATTGTGAAATGGTAACTCCTCTGTACAACACCTTAATAATAACAATCAACTTACATTTAAATAAATAAGGAAATTAATAATCTCCAGAGTAAATGTGGCCATGAAATGAGAGAGACATCAGCTGAAATGCCATTATTGATTTTTGACACATACCAATACTAACTGAAAGAAATTCACTCCCATTAACTTTATTTTGCTAGGTCAGATTATTGCTTTGAAGTCTCTTTGAGAATCTAGACTACTTTTATACAAGTTTATTTCTAGCTTTCATTTTTATGTAAATAATTTTTATTTTTAAGAAAAATTTAAATTGGAATTCTTGTTTGTTTAGAGTGGGGACCAATTCTTATTGCAGAAATACTTTCACTGTACTTCTTTTCTAAAACCTTTTCATATGAAGTGATGATGGCTTTATTTTAATTAATGTTGATCTTCTTATTCCTTTGCCAAACTTCTTGTAATTTCTAAAACTAATTTGACACAACTTTAACTATAAGCATTTTTTTCTCCTGCTCCATACATTGGACATTCTGAGTAGTGAGATGTTTCCCTTTCATTCTAGAGGGTGAATCTGTCCTTTTTTTTTCCAGCTTCCAAACGCCTTATATAATTAGTTTTTGTCTCATCCCAGTTTTTTTTTAAATGTTTCCTTCCTGGTCTTCCTACTCAGGTTCTTCCCTCTCTAATACCCTATTAAATTTATTTGTCTTAACACCATCTGATCATGATAATTCTCTTCAAGCTATGTATCAATTTTTATTTCTTTTCATTCTTAGTATATTCTTTTACTAAATTCTGTAACATTTTGTGCTTACCTTCCTCTTTTTTTTTGTGGGTCATGGGGCTTGAGCTCTGGGCCTGGGCACTCAAGGGGAGCGCTCTTCCACATGAGCCACAGAGCCACTTCCAGTTTTCTGAGTGGTTTATTGGAGATAAGAGTCTCGTGGAGTTTCTTGCTTTGAACCGCAATCCTCAAATCTCAGCCTCCTGAGTAGCTAGGATTACAGGCATGAGCCACTGGCGCCCAGCAACCTTCCTTCATTCCTTTAAGTTGTTCCCTTTACATGAAGTTTATACTTACTACCTTTTTTGAAAACCCAGGTCAATATTGACTTAAGTTGTTATGCCTTCAGTGAGTTCCTCAGATCCACAAGTGATGTGCTGTTTACCTTATGTCTTAGTCATTTAGCTCTTCGAGGGAGAAATCAGTGCATTATATATCTGTGGTTTCTACATAGGCACACATGTAGTAAATGTTTCTTAAATGAATAGTTAAGCCAACATTAGGATTGTTCCAATAGTATAAAATAAATATTTAAATATATGTATATAATTAATTCTTGAGTAATATTTATAGTTAAACACCTAAAATGAGAAAATTTCAAGGCTTTATTTGCTCAAAATTAATATTTTATAATTTTATTTTAGTGCTACTGGGTTTTGATATCCGGGCCTTGTTCTTACCAGGAAAACTCTACCATGTGAGCCATGTCTCTAGCCTTTTTTGCTCTGGTTATTTTGGAATAAGGTCTCATGTTTATACCCAGGCCAACCTAGACCACAGTTCTTTCCTATTACACTCCCATGTAGCTAGGATGACAAAAAGCACACAGCCACCACACCCATCCTTTCATTGAGATGAGGATCTCATGAATTTTTTGCCCCAACTGGCTTAGAACCATGATTCCCTAATCTCTGCCTCTGTGGTAGCTGGGATTACAGGCATGAAACATTGCACCCAGCCGGAATATTTTATGTTAATTAACTTTGATCCTCTCAGCTGTCCTTGACCTATATCAATGAGATAAGATGTACAGTATCCACATTCCAAGTGAACAAGAAAGGCCCTTACCTAAGCCCCACATGCCTTTCTATATCACTTTCCTTAAAAGAAAGTCTTATTTTAAAACTCCCTTAGGGAAAAGGGGAAGATAGAGTTTGAAAGGCAAGAGCTTACAGTCTTCCAACATGTAAGCTTGATAATAATTATCAAAAATATATATTATCAATTTAAAAAGATAATCTGAATAGTATGTTTTAATACAAAGGTGATATTATATGTGAACTTTGCCATGTATTGTTTCAGTGATTATTTTATGAGCTAACATGGCTTAGTCATGAATCTAGAACACTTAGGAATCCCAGTGGGAACCACACATAGACTACATATATCTTACTATCAAAGACATAGGACATTGCAATCTGACCCAGTTAACAGGGTACCTTAAGAGACAGAACAACAGATTTTTGTTAAATAACAGTGTTAAATCTTTATGTAATCGGCAGCATTGGTTTTGAAGTCAGATTGACCTGAAATTGACTATCAGATCTACACCTAACTTTATCTTTTGAACAGACAATTTAACGTATATAAGCCATGTCTGTTTTACTCATTGGTAAAATGAGCATGATAACCTTTAGTTGCTTTGAGACATAAGTGAAACAGTGTTTGTCCAGTGCTATGTTTAGTATCATAGACCAGGCACTAAGTAAACACTGATCCTGTGAACACTTCAACTCTCAGTTTAGACTCATCATAGGCTAAAACCTCCTTTCCTCTGGTATACCCCCTGTTTTATTATTAACTTCTTTGATAACTATTCTATTCTATGAAGTTCATAAAAACTGAAGGGAAGAGTCTGAGATACTCACAGAAATCTTCAGGTAGAGGATTGGGGAAGATGATGGTAAGGACTTAGAGGGTGTAGTCATATGTGCATTAAAGGCAATAACTTTTGAAAGTGTGGCCATCTAGTGTCTCAGAAATGTTCTTTCCATAACTTTTTAACAGTCATGGCCCTTGTGCTGTTTATTACATTGCTAGGTGTTTTCTGTAGATCTCTCTTTTTTAAAAAAACCAACCTGTTATGATGATGGAGCAAGTAAGATAATGAAGATAGTAAGAATCTCAAAGTTCCATAGCTTGTGAGTGAAAGAAGCAGTATTCAAATTCAGATCTGACTCCAAACAAATCTTTTCAAATGAAAGTTTCCTGAGAGCAGGGCTATTGTCTTGTCTGTAAACATAACCTGATTGTCTAGCATGGCACCTAAGATATAGTTTAGTGCTCAATAAATATTTGTTTAATAAAGAATGAGTCATCCTGTAGAACAGTAAAATGTACTGGAATGTGTCTGTTTTAAAAAGACATTTTACCAAAAATGTTTACATTTTTAAGATTTACTACCTCTTTAAAACTTATCTTTCATAGGCTACCTGTGGCTCACACCTGCTTCAATCAACTCTGCCTTCCCCCCTACAAGAGCAAAAAGGACCTGAAACAGAAATTGATCATTGGAATTTCAAATTCAGAAGGTTTTGGACTTGAGTAACCTAGCAGACTTGAAATATAAATTTTATATGTAGCATTCACTTCCCTCTTATTGTGCCTTTAACCTTTTTGTGTTTCTGTCTCAAGATACTTTCACAAAGTTCACCAACTTTAAAATACTGAAGCTTTTTTAAATCAAGTATGAAATATGCTTAGTGAAGGCATGATTTTCTAAAAACAGAAATTTCTTTTGTGAAAGAAAGACCACATGGCAAAGGCAGGTGTGGGTCCAGTTGCTCTTTTCTATAGCACTTTATCATTTTCCATAAGTAGTTTGTCACAGGTGTTCCACTGGGAAAGCAAGGTACAGTAAGGAATGCATTTATGACAAAGTTAAGCCCAGTGGCAGATTGTGTGCTGCTAGCACACCGTAGCAAAGTAAGCAGCTACATTATCTTTAACATAAGGCATGTAGCCATATTTTCATATTGAGGTAAACAACAGTATAAGTGCACATGCAGTTTACAGGGTCTTTTGATATACTGGTTTGGGGTCCTATACGATTCTTTTCAACTGTTGCTGAAAAGCATGTAAATAACTACATAATAGCCTAAGAAAAATGGAATTTTGATAGTGACATTTATTGCTAAAGATTTATTTTTACAAAGTAAATTCAGGGTTTTAGATGTGTACACAGCTTTTACAAATCAATAAAAAGATGATTGTATAAGAGTATTTTCAGACTAATTGGATTTAAGGTTATATTCTTTTAAGTATTGTTAGTCTGCATGCACATTGGCAGCAAACCAGTTACCTGAGTACTCTGTAATATTTGTATAATGATCATTTCTTCTTAAAGATCAAGATATTAGAAAAAATCAGATCTGAATAATCACTGATGAACTAAGTCAGAAGCACAAAAGAACTGCTTTTATATATACTTTGATTGGTGTACAAGACATAATTATTTAATTCTGATCACCAGTTGTACTGAAACACTAATTTTTGGAAAAAGTAGGATAAGTATTTGACAAAAGTGGATACAATAATAACATTTATGTCAAAATGATATAGCTTGCTATAATGAAAAGCTCAACATTTTGGCTAAAATGTTTGTTGCTCACTGGATTCTGAATATAGTAAATTCAAACATACCCTTGTTTCTCATTTCCCATAAAATAGCATGTAAAAAACACTGCCCTTTAAGTCACAGTAATTTTTTTTATTTATAGCGAATGAAGCAGTTTTATTAGCATGTTACAAACATTTTTGGATTGAATTCTCTTATTCTTGGAGAGTTTTTCTTCAGAATACTCTGAAGTTGTATTTGCAATAATAATGAAACCAGCATTTAGTACCAGCATATGATTCATTTGCAAATAATACTTCCAAAATCTTTTCTGAGTTAGGCCATTTCCTTGCTATTATGCTTCCTGCACCCAACCAGCAGAATTCTTCAAGGGTGGAGGAACTAACCAGCTTGTTTTCCTACAGTTCTGAAGCCAACTCCTTAATCTTTGAGGGAAAGGAGTTCAGTTGAATTACCATTACCGCTGAGATTGAAGTGACTCTGCTTCTCCACTCGGTATGCTATACAGGGTATTTCTTCTTCAAATTCTTGGCAAGCCTATGAGAGTTAAAGGCATATTGGTTTGGTATGGTTTTATTGTTTTTAACCCATATGCAAATAAAACTGCTTCTCTCTTACACTGCTTGAACTAGAATGTAAGATGTTTAATGTAGGTTACTACTAATAAGCACAAAAGAATCATGTATAAGAAACCAGATTTTCAAGTGTTTTAAGTAAATGTAAAAGTTTTTATTTGATAGAGATGACTCATGGAAAATAGTGTTGGCTTGGTCTGCATGTTTAATGATGTGCTTGTATATGATAGCTATGTCACTTTTAAGTAAGATGTTCACAAGCAAGCCAGATGTTAAGTGACAACGTCCATAAATAACTGGAGGATTATTGTTATCTGTTGTTAAGTTGAAATTTATAAATCACTAAATTGCACATAACCTTTATTTATTTATGCTGTTTTCGGTTTACAGTGTAATAATACCTCATTTAAAATTAAAAACCACTACTGTTACATTTTGTTAATTTAAACAGCTAGAAAATTCATGTAGTTACTTTTTTATATGCAATCTGTTAATGAATTCTTGATTTTTGTATCCACCACAGTAAATTAAAGCATTGCGCAATATTTATAAAATGTCTTGTCCTTCTTTTAATCTCTCAATCATTGACTGGAAGTGTTTTATATAGACCAGGATCCTTCCTTCCAAGATTTCAGCCTCCCAAGAAGCTAGAATTATAGACATGAACCATCAGCACCTAGCTTTTATTTTTTTAATTAGCTTACATAATAATATAAAAAATTTTCGCTAGATTAATAATTTATATATAATTTATATGTTAATAATTTATATATTAATAATTTATATATAGAGAGAGTATACTTTTTTTTTTGTCGGTCATGGGGCTTGAACTCTGGGCCTGGGTGCTATCCTCAGCTCTTCAACTCAAGGCTAGCACTCTACCACTTGAGTCACAGTGCCACTTCCCATTTTCTGGTTGTTTATTGAAGATAAATTTCTTGGACTTTCCTGCCCCTGGTCTGGCTTTGAACCATGATCCTCAGATCTCAGCCTCCTGAGTAGCTAGGATTACAGGCATGAGCCACCAGCACCCAGCTTTATATTTTTTTTTATTTTTATTTTTTTTGGGTCCGGTCATGGGGCCTGAACTCTGGGCCTGGGCACTGTCCCTCAGCTCTTCAGCTCAAGGCTAGCATTCTACCATTTGAGCCACAGCGTCACTTCCGGCTTTTTTCTTTTTTGCTTATGTGGTGCTGAGGAATCGAACCCAGGGCCTCATGCATGCAAGGCAAGTGCTCTACCACTGAGCCACCTTCCCAGCCCCTTTATATATATATTTTTTAATGCCAATCTGAGGCTTAAACTCAGGGCCTAGATGTTATCCCTCAGCTTTTATTGTTCAAGGCTACCACTTGAGCTCTACTTGTGGCTTTTTGCTGGTTAATTGGAGATAAGTCCCATAAGCTTTCCTGCCCAGGCTGACTTAAAACTGCAACCCTCAGATTTCAGCTTCCTGAGTAGTATGGATGGGATGAGCCATCCCAGCCTGGCCATACAGAATACTTGTAACAACTTTACTCCATTGTATTTTCATTCCCCTCCTTTTTCCTCACCAATTTTTCCTACAGTGTTTTGTAGGTTTATTATTTTACTTTGCCATTAACTTTTTTGAATTCTTTGTGTGTTCTGGATATTATTCCTTTATCTCTTAAATAGCTGACAAAGATTTTCTATAAATTGCTTTAGTTTTGTTCATCATGGAAGAGATTTATTGTCCTTGAGTTATGAACAATAACTTGGCTGCAAAGAGTAATCTTGCAACTTAAAATACTCTCTTTCTCTTATCTCTAGTGTTTTGACTAATATATAGCAGGAGTGGCTCTATTCTGTTCTTGTCTGTTTGTAGTCCTGAAGGCTTTGTAGCTAGACAAGAAGTTTTCTATTACTGTATTGAATGTTTCTGATGCTTTTAACTTATGTCTTTCTCTTCCGTTAGTGCCCATACAAAGTATATTTGGTCTTTTAATGGTACTCCCAGAGTTCTTTTATTTTTGGTTCATTTTCCTTCTTTTTTTATCTTCATCTGACTTTCGTTACTTTTCTATTTTCTGTCTTCCATTTGATTTCATCTGCCGGAGAGACTTTCCATTATCTTCTTAATTTAAAGAACTTTTGATCTTCAGAGCTTTAATTGACTTTTTTCAGGATTGCTATGTCAATTCTTTTATATCTTACATGAAATACCTTATTTTATCTATTCATATCCCTTTTTAGTTTTTTTAGTTGTTTATATCTTCTGAGTTCATTTGTTTATTTGTATTCTGACTTCATTGAAATGCATCTACATGTCGTTTGTCTCATTAATCGTCTTTATCATTTTTTGAGCTCAGAATTTGAGATTTCGCCCCCCTCAGTTGTTCATGTGGCTGTTGACTCTTTGAGGTATCATCTTTTTTTTCTTAGTTTATAGTTTATGTTTCTACTTTAAGATGTTCTCACCTGACATTAGTTCCTTGTTTGGGGTTTTTAATCATTTGACTTATTTCCAGCATTTTTTTACACATTCTGGAAGTACTAGAAATGTTGATGTACCATTTTACCCCACTGGCTTAGAAGTATGACTCAGAAATTAAAATTTCACCAATCTAATATCAAACCAAATATTAACATTTTTATCTAATAGCCTATCATGTAGTGTATGTAGGGAATTAGGAATTTTGTGTGATATGGTGTAAAGTTAGAAAGCTTATTTATGTAAGTATATAAAAATAGGCAATAAAATTAAGCAATTGAGAGAAATGTGAAGATAGGGAGAAGGGTTATGAAGTGTGAGGGCTTCAGGTAAACAAAATGCAACTGTGTAGGAATATAGTTCAGTTATTGTGGAGAAAGGTGCAGTAATCAGGTGTTGTAAAGGGATCAAAAAGTTAAAAATAATAATAAAAGGAGGTAGGATAGAGCACCAGAAGAATGGTAAATGAGAGGTAGGAAAAATGGAAAGAAAAAGAAAAAAACTATATGTATATATAGTTTTTAAAAAACAGTATGTTTAAGAAACATATATATGTATATATAGTTTTAAGGGAAAAATTTTAACAAAAGTGAATATTCTTTTTTGAGAAGAATTTATATCTATTGGGCTCACAGCATGATGTATACACTCCTACAATCCCTAGTCCTCAGGTTTCTGTCTGCAATTCTTCTGCATTTACTCAGGGCCCTGGATGGAACCAGATGCAGTATGGATACAGTGTTCTGTAGTTAGTTATGGCTCCAGATCAAGGGATGCTAGTTAGGCAAAGCAGAGCAAGTTTAGTGATGGGAGTAATCTGCTAAAGCTCAGTGGAGCAGTTCCAGGCATGTCAAATAGCTGTTGGGGTAAGTGCAGGGATTTCTTAAGAACAGCTACTGGACAAAAAAACACTTGACCACTCTCAAAGCCTGTTCCCTATCCTGCTCAGGGAATCTAGTGGCAGCTCTGGCTTGTCCACCTAAATTACCAATTTAATCATCTTTTTGGAGAGTGAAGGGGAAATAGCCACTGTCATTTGTGTAAATAAGCACACTAGGGGATTGGGAAGTGAGTTTAAAGCTCTAACCAGCTGGGTTTCTGTGATCTTTCTTTTGTCTTATGATAAAGATTCAGATGATGAATTCTAGCCAACTTCCTGTACCATTCCTTTGTCTTGGAGTAGAGACCTAGATACTAATGTATGGCTTCACCAAACACACACACACGCACACACACACCGACACACACACACACACACACCAGTTGGGCCACGTATGAGAGCCTTTAACCAGTCTACTTAGCCAAAAGTTTTCCCAGAGATCAAATGTATTTGTGTATGCACAGTAGGTTTGGCTGAAAGCAGCACTTACCGTTTCACCCATTCATCGGTCAAGGGGTGAGTATGGAGGCTTTGAATCAGCCCACTTAGCCAAAACTTTTTTTTGGTGGGGACAGGTATTTGCTCCTGGGAGCTGGGTTGACCTATGCACTGACCCTTAGGACTGAGGGACAGATTTTTTGTCCCAGGTAGTAAGGCACAGACACCAGACACTGCCAGTGCTTTGGGCCAAGCTGGCCAACCTGCACTTCATTCTTTGTGGAATTTATTTTTTCACAGGGTGACCCACTTAGGTGGCTTTTGCCAGAAGCAAAACAGTAAAACAAAACTGGGATCCAATCTGGGATGGTCAGAGGATGAAGCAGATCTGCATGGTGCTACTGGCTCCCTCCAAACAAGGTTTTTCTTTGTTTCTTTTAGAGATTGAGAGTCTAGTTGTTGTTGTTTTTTCCTAATGCTCTGTCCTTTTACTGGTACCCTCTGCTAATTTACTTTCTCACTTCACCTTGCAGACATATACCAGAGATTTTATGTCTAGTTTGTGGACATAACAGGAAAGTTATGTCCACCATAGCTTTCAAGATGTTCACAATCTTGAGAGTTAGCAAAACCTTTAAGCACAGTTTTACGCTGTGTTTCCAATTTCATATAGGCCAGCTTCCATATGTCTTTTTTGCTTTCTTATTTGACTGTTTCTGTCATAGCAATGTTTTCTTTTAATCTCCTTGGCTTATAATCATTATGATCATTTTGTCTTCTATTTCACCTACATGCTAGCAAATTTCATCTTTGTGTTGTCTCTCAGATTTGATCCTTCCACCCCATTTCTACAGCTTCTTCTTTAGTTTAGATGTACATTCATCCCAACTGGCCTCCCTGAATATTGGCTTACCCTATTGATATTTGTCCTCAGGTCCCTTAATTATTTTTTTGTAAAATTCCATTTTTATATTGTAACCCCCTCATCAAGAATCTGAGATGTATTTGGTGCTTCTTGGGCCAGTTTTCAATTGCAAATCCTAGCATAAACTCCACTCTCATTTTGCATAATTTATTTTTGTTTCTTAATACTACCTTCCAAAAGAATAGATCCCTAACCTCCTCCTAAATACATAGTTTAATCCCACCCAGGCTCAATCTAGTACTTTCTGAGGTGTTCTTCCCATCCCTTTACAACAAAATATTTATCGATAAAGTAAATATCTATCCCTCTTTTCATCTCTTAAGTGGAATGAGTCATTTTAAGAGTACATGGTTAAATAGGTGGATAACAACAGCTCAAGAGGTGTAGACTCTGTCTCTACTCAGCATCTCAAGCTGTTAGGTTTATAAATTCACATAGAATCTACTCGACTTGCTTGGGAAGATGAAACATTCACCCACCAAATTAGTGGAGTAGATGATCATCCTGCCATGGGTATGCAGCTCATCTTGGATTTGTAAATTGTTGCACTGACTCACACAAACATGCTCTCACCCTGTCAAGACCTCAGTCACACCAGCCTGAGGTCCTAGGAAATACCTTTCTGAGGGAATACTTTCTAGAACCCTCTCTCATGTTAGCATGCCTTCTCTAATAACCAGGTGGCTCACTTACCAAGTAAAAGTGAATGGTGGTGGGCATTTTTTGGACCTGGACTAAAACAGTGCACACTACTTCTGTTTACATTGCATTGGAGACATCTTGGTCACCGTATTGCAGACTGGAGACTTAGGAATCAGATTCCTTGGAAAAACACAA